AGAGCTGTGGGGAGCCCATGAGGATTCCCCGGACTCAGGTGGTGAGACACGGGCCAGTGGGGACCAATGGGACCCGTCAGAAGGCCCAAGCGAGTCCTCCTCCCTCTCCATGACATCGAGCTACCGAGCATAATGGGGCACTCTCACAGCCTCTAGTCCGTTTTAGGTCCATTATTTTAGGGACACCAAATGGACGACGACACCCATGAAGCGCCAACACGATGCCCTATGGAAGGGCAGTGAGACCCTCCCTCTCGGGAAGTAGCTGGACCCCATGTTGACCGCAGCTTCCAGCTGGCCCCTCTGCAACCTGGAGCAAGCACTCTGACCCCCTGCAACCTAGAACCATCTGTGCATCTGTACCACAGCACCCACAGGCTCGGCACGTCACGGGGTGATCCCAGGGTATGCCCATGAGGCCTCTGTCCACACTGACCCCTGGGCCCCAGGACCAGCATGGACGTGCCCTGGCCTCTGCCCCATGTCCCGTGCAGCCCCAGGTCCTGCCATTCTGCCCACTCACCAGCCTCGCCCTGTTCTTGACTCTGTTCCCCACCATCTCAGACTAAGTCATCTGTCCTGGTGTCCCTGCTCACCAAGGTCCAGCCACCTCAGCTCAGTGGCTCCCCAAGGTGGGCCGCTTGGTAATCCTAGTGCCCAGTGGGCTGAGGAGATGCATACCCCCCTTTCTCCTGACCTCAGAACTCGAGCCATGTCCTCATGTGCTTCCCCTGCCCTCCCCACGAGGGCCACCCCTTTACATGTCCACCCAAAGCCTCCGACCAGCTCGCTCTCCACGGTCACTCTTCCATGTGGCTCTCTGACTCGAGACTAGTCTCCCAGGAGCCCTGGCGCACCATCAGACAGGGCTGTGCTGCCTCCCGGGGTGCGGCTCAGAGTCTGGCTGGTGGGTAGGAGTTCAGGCTGTGCGTAGCCCACCAGGTCACACGGCCTCTCCTCAAGGCCAAGCTACGGTGTGTGTGGAGCCGGGGACAGACCTGGGAAGTCCACACGGGGATGGAGTGACCCCACAGCCAACGCCTGGGCCAGCTGCACTGCAGCCTTTAGGGGCGGTGCCCAGGAAGACCACAGAGACTTTGTACCGATTAACTACCGTGGGCCCCGGGGTAAGATGATCCCACCGGTCGGAATGGCCCCGAACAGAACGCAAATCCAAATGCCAACCCCTCGTCCGGGCACTGAGAGGCTGCAGGCCCTGATGCTGGGCCAGCGAACACCCGCTGTGACAGAGCCCTTAGCAGAGCCCACGGGTGCCCGGAGCCTGATGCCGGCCCAGCTGATGCGCTGGGGAGTGTGAATCCAGCTCCCAGCTTGCTCAGGGGCGGCAGCCAAGGCTTTACGTAACACAGTATTTATAGCTGAATGACACCCCCCGGCTGCTGGAGCTCCAGGGGCTAGCCTGGAGAGGGACACACGGGGTCTGCAGAGCCCAGCCCTGAGTCTGCACTGGGATGAAGCCACCCCTGGGCCCACTTGAGCCAAAGCTGCAGAGAGCTGCCAGAGGCAGGAGGGCAGATCCCCCAGAGCGCTGGGACCAGCACACAGCCACCACACCAGGGCCTCCCACTTGGTCAGCCCACCAAGGAAGGGACTCTCCCCGGAAGGGCAACAGAAGCCCCACTCCACGATAATTCTGTGAACAGCAATGGCCTCCCAGCTGGGCAAAACCACCTGGAATCATTTACTCCAGAAGGGGACTCAGCCTGGCAGGCTAGGCTTTGGGGGATGCCCAGACACTAGGGCCCACCCTGCCTTTCCCTTGCTGTCCTGCCATATCTGCTGGCCACACTGGCCTCTGTCCTCACACCCTTCTCGCTCTGACAGGTGGAGGGACGGGGCAAATCCACGAGGCCATGTGACAATAACCAACCCTGCCACCCTGTGGCACCTGTGCACCCCTAGTTCCCATGGGCCAAGGAGACACCTGTCCTCCTTTTCTCTGACCTCAGGGGCTCACTGCCCCGGGAGGGGATGAGCCTCCTGTCACGAGGCACTGAGCCATGACTGTCCACAGACAACCCACTTTTCATCAAGTCCAAGCTGTGCACGAGGCTCCTCAGCAGACATGGGGGATGACACACACCATCTGGGTGGCAGCTGGGAGCCCCAAGTGCTGTCCCCACACCTGCACTCCGAGGAGGGAACTTCAAGTCAGTGTCGGTTACACTAGCAGCAACTTCTACAGGTCACCAGGAACCCAGAGGCTGTGACAGTCCTGACCCCAAACACGAGGCATGGGCTGACAGTGCGAGGCAGGCGGTCCAAGGAGAGACCTGAGCACCCACAGCCCACTCCGCCCACACTACTCTGCATGCAGATGCCCTCGGCAATCCTAGGCTACTGCCTGACGAGCTCCACGCTGGCTGAGGGGCCCCGAGAAAGCCTGGATGGGCCAGCCGGGGGCATGGCGGTTAAGGCTCTGGATCTCACACGGCCAGCTGTGGGGTCTGAGTCCTGACCCAAGCGACTTGAAAAACACACCGGCACGTGTGGGTGTGTGTGCCTAAAATCCCACGAGGAGAACGGAGAAGAGGCTGGGCGTGGCCGTCCCCCAGGGGGTGATTTCTCACCCCCCCCACCCCTCTCCCTGTCTCTCTGGTGAGCACACCCGCCCTACAACAAACTGAAAAGAAAGAAGCCTTGGCACCCAGCAGGAGAAACCTTGCTGGGGCAGACCATGCCAGGGCGAAGCCCAGCCCCCACATCCTGTCACCAAGGGCTCGCCCACTGCACCCCGGGAGTGGGGGCTTCTCATGATGCACCAGCGTTACCAGTGGCGAGGCGACCCTGGGTTCATACAGTGAAGGTGCTCCGATCCCAGCAGCAAAGGACACCCGGTACTCCTTTTCCGGGGCAGGAAAGAGCTGGGCGAGTTGGCCAGAGCAGGTGGGACAGCGCACTGCGTCCTGGCTAGTCCTTAAGTCTCAAAACACCAAGAAAGGACGCAGGCCTACCCTGTAAGCCGCACAGCGGGGTCTCTCCATGACCGCAGCTGGGTGGGGGCACAGGACTGACCGGGGACGTACGACCTGGGGCCCTGAGCTCTAACACAAAGCCCGTCCACACCCAGCTGACGGCCGGCCCACTGGCTGCCTCTCTGAGGGGCGAGAAGTAAATGCCTGGAACAGTCACGGTGCAGGGACTCAGGGCGGATGGAGGCCCTGGGGGAAGACCTGGGTCCGTGCCTCCCCAGCTGCACGAGCATGGGCGGGCCTCACTCCCCACCCATAAGACAGAGAACAGCCCTGACTCGCTGGCTCTCAGGCCTGTCACTGAGTAACAGATCTATGTGCCTGTCACAAAGCACCAGGCTGGGGGTTGCTAGGCAGATTTTGCCTCTCTTCTCGTGGGCTCAGGGCATATGGAGCCTACCCGTCTTCATGGCACGGCACTCCCAGGGCCCTGCCAGCCCGCCGACTCCCGGCTGAATTAGACAGAACTGCTTCCCGCAGTGGTAGGTCAGAGCCAAGAAGCTCCTTGCTGAAAGGAGAGTCGGCCAGCCTGAGGCCTCCCACAAGCCCACCGGGGAGAGGAAGTGTCCTCTAAACCCCGGGGCAGCTGGACACGGGCGGCGGCCGGCCACCCACCCTGTGACGTCAAGAGCCAGACTGCCTCAGAAGAGCCCTCCACCCTCACACCCCAGAAAGCTACCCAGGAAGTGCCTGGTAGAAGAGTCACCAGGGGACACACTGGACGTCACTGCATCCTTAAAGCTGCTCCCCTGGGTTTCTAGAACCGCTCAGGTGGAGGGTGTCAGCTACAGCACTCTCTGGGGAGCCTCCAGATCTGAGCAGGCCTGGCTAGGTCCCTCAATCAGCAAAGAAGGGGAGAAGTGTAGCCCACCCACCCACCAGGTGCAGATCGACCGGCTCACTGAGCCTGAGGCTGAGCCTGGTGGCTAGGGGATGAGTCTGTGGTCCTGGAAACACCAGGTGCCTCACATCGGGAGGGGAGCTCAGGGGTACCCCGAGTCCCTCCAAGTCTCCACCCTACAGCAGGGGCAGCTTAGGAACAAGATGCTGCCGCTCTTGAGTGCTCCATCCCAGGAGGGAGCGCAGCACGATGGCCGTCTCTGTGACCGTGTCCAGGGCCGTGGAGGTGCGGGAGCACGTCAGGGACAGCGGACAGAGAACCCGCTACTCTGAGTCCTGCAGAAGGCCAGGCCGTGCCCGGCCTCACACACTCAGGCCACTCAGGGCTCGGCCATGCTCGCCTAAGGACACCCACAGCTCCCAGCTCTGCCATCACCAGGCTTCACCCCTGCCCTCCGCCGCTGAGTCCACTCCCTAGGCCTCTCCAAGGCATGCACCATTTCCCTCACACACTCTGCATCGCTCCAGCTGTTGACTGTCCTCTTCACGAGACCGCACTCTCCCCACCCCTGCATTGCTGGGAGATGGGGTGCACCCCCTCACTCGGGCTGCTTTACACACTTTTTCTCCTGTGGCCTCGGCCTGCTCACACCCAGATCCCGGCCTAGCTGGCTGCTCCACCCCAGGGCAGCATCGGCTGGCGCCCCTTCCTTCTTCCCTTATCACCCCCCTGCCCGCC